TTAATACGAAATCTTCAAATAGGTATCCCTATGAAAGCATAAACGTGTCGATTACCCATTTCCATATTATTATATTGATTTTCCTTTTCCAGAGACGGTGTGTATATTCGTTGTGATTGATCGTGCGCCGAGTAGTGTACGATATATACGCCCAATTTCATTATATGAAGGTACGTAATTTTTAGGTTCGATCAAAAAAGTCGTTCAATAGGCCTCATATTATTTGGGACAGACCACGTAAAACATATCAAATGACGAAATGTACAAATTTAGTTGAAACATTGAACGTGATACGAATGAAACATTGCATTGGATAGGTGTCGTCGCTAGGTCTCGTGAATTATTTATTGCCAATTTACGTTTTTCTAAAACTTTGTTCACCAAATATTTTTAGTTTAGCATAAATAAGCGGTAAGAATTTTGAAACTCATATTTGTATTCGTCAACGTTTATTTATCAAACGTTCAGAAAACGATAAAAGTATAAACCGTACAACGTAGGCAGTGTTGGGTAGTAACGTAACGAAAGTAACGCGTTACTGTAACGCCGTTACTTTGTTTGTAACGCGTTACGTAATTTAATTACAATTATTTTCAAATAACGAAAATGTAATGAAAATTACTTTTGATGAGTAATTTACATAGTATAACGCGTTACAGTTTTAAATTATTTAGTACCTATTGCGAATTTCAAAAAAAAAAAAAACTTAAAAAATAATGTCTTATGCGGGTATTATTTATCATACAAGTGGTTAATTATTATACGTTCCTAATGTTCTTATTAACTATTGTCTATTTTAAGCATAAACTATACGTCTGTACATGCACTAAAAATAAATATTGATGGATAACCAATGATAAATTGAATTATTTACATTGCAGTGTTATAAATAATTATTATTGCTGTTTGGCATTTTACAAGAAACGGTAAAAATAATAAACTTATCTAATATCTTTATTAGTAATGACTAATCACTAATGAGTAATGACCGAATATTCATATGTACAATTTATTACTACTATTTTTAATAGTTATAACTTAAAAGTTATAAGTAATTAATATTGTTAGGTATGTATTTATGTTTTTAACTGTAGGTACATCTTTTTCAAATTATACCATATCTTCTGTAGGAAGTGTATTTCTAGTTCCTTTGCTTTTTAAATGATAATAGCTAAGCAATTAAAAAAAAATTATAAAAAAAAAAATGTAACGAGAAAGTAACGTAGTTACTTTTCTATTTGAAAAGTAAAGTAATTTCATTACAATTTTATTTGAGTAACGAGTAAAGTAACTTCATTACATTTCTCTCTAAGTAACGAGTAAAGTAACTTTATTACTTTTTAAAAGTAATTTACCCAACACTGAACGTAGGTGACGTCAATAATTAATTTTGTTTAATCGTAGGTATACGAATATCGAAATTATTTTTTGTAAACACTTTAGCTGATATGATATCGAATTTATCGGGCGGTGTTCTTTGAATTTCACGATGAATTTAACTTTTTGATATTTATAGGATTATCACGATGTGGGTTTATCTTAGACACGTTTAGGAGTAAGTGCTATGGAATAAGGAAAATAAAACGTCAAATATTTGAATAATTTATTTATAAATATGATATCATAACGTGAAAGATTTTTAATGCTTAACGCCAATTTCACATAATTATGTTCGGAAGAATTTCAATGATTATACCTACTATTCAACTAATCCATATTTATACAAGAGCGTTAATACATATCTTATTGTGTTACTTTGATTTTTAGTACAGTTATAATCATAATAATATCAACTAAAATTTTAACCTCATCAATGGCTTTATTGTATTAACAACAAAAATTTAATAATTATATTTTATTTTAAGCGCGAGTTTATTGAATCCATCGAAATATTTTGAGACGTTAGATTATATTACGTCTTTTTTGCAAGTTTACTGTAATATACACTTTCCTTATCTGACAATAACTCGCTTATCTTTATTCTCGTTTTATTATTGTTATACTTCCTGTTCGAAGAAGTTTTTTTCATTTTCTTCTCTCAGGTCCCACACCGCACATAAATTTTGGTGGCAAAGTTGGGTCTCTCGCTCGTTCGACTATATGCAGACCAGATAAGTTTTATATTTAAAAGCGTATCCGTTGGTGGTATATAGAAGGGCACACATTTTTTTTTTTTACCACCGCTCTCTTTTCCCCGCATTTTCTTTATAACATTTGGCTATGATCCCAAAAATAAAATACATCACTTTACGTTGTATTCTTCATATACACACTCTTTAAAACATCACCACTGCCACCACTCAACTACGACATAGACATGTTCTGCACGGTGTTATCATTATAATGAGTATTACTATTATTATTATTATTATTATTATACCATCGTTGTTATTGCTGTTGTTATAGTGTTTGGAGACGAGATATTACGTGCTTTGAGTCATGATGTATACTGATATATTATTATATGTATATAGGTACATGACAAAAATGTAGATGAACAAAATCAAGATAATTAGTGTTTCGTTGCTTATCACCCACGCTGTTGGAGAATATTTTTGAAAATAGTTCAAAAGTTTTGGTAAACGAGTTGATATGATTTACCGAAGGTATTTTATAATTTTATCTCAAATTTACAGATGTTTAAATTGGTTATTTTTGAAGTAATTCAATAGAAAACTTATCCTTATGTTATACTCAGAAAATAAATATAAGATATACCAATTTATAAATATATATATTAAAAATTAATGGTATATAAAAACATTCCTTCCTATTTAGACGCAGCTTTAGGTCCGAACACAGAAATTATCAACAATATGATCGACTTTGGGGTGTAGAAAATCAAATTTAACTTAATTTTTTTTGTTTTGTAACTTGTAACTATGTAAAGCCATCTTAAATTGTATAACTGTGACCGTCCAGTAAAATTTTAAACTAAAATAAACCTTGGCGTTAATGTTTTTAATAATTAATAAAAAGAAAACTTTGAATAAGTAGTTATAATATTAGTTATAAGTACCAATTTAAATTTAAATTGAGTGCAATATTATAGTAGACTAACATTTTGTGGAGTACCTATCTCAGTACCCCTGTTTCACTTCACTCTAATTAACTAAACATTTATGTACCTACTTATACTAATTAATAACTCGTTTGAAATTATTATTATCGTTTAGATTTAATATAAAGAAGTACTCTGGAAAAATTTGGTACAGCTTAAGAATATGGAATTGTATATTGAGTAAAACACTTGAAAAATAATATACCTACCTAGCAAAAGGATTATAATTATTTCAAAATTATTGTTTCGCAATGAATTAAAATTATGAGAAATAAATATTTTCAATTACTTTTTGAGATAATGAGAGCTTACTGTTAAAAATTTAAAATAATCAACCCGCATAATTTATATGAGACAGTGTTGTAAACTTTTTGTACGTAGGTATTTTCATATATTTATATTTAATTAAATATTAATTTTTTTTTTCAAAGTTTAAAGTATTAAATTTTAATTGGCACTTTCTTTGTACTCGTCATTTTATTATACTAATTGATAAGTCAATAATTGTATTTACCGAACTACATAAAGTTATTTATAATTATAATTAATAGTGTAAAATGAAATATACACTACAATATTGCAGTTGAATTTAAAAACTCCTTTAATAAAAATTATATATTCTGTGTGTTCACATCAGCTAATAATGTATTGCACAAATGAATCTAGTAATATAGAATGGGATGCAAAAATGACATAGTACCTACATATTTAAGATAATATAAATATAATAACGAAATAATCATAACTCATAAGCTATTTTATTGAAAATTAACCTAATTTTAAGAGAATTATACATAATTTTCTTGAAATAATAATTTTACATAGGTATTTAAGATTTAATACAATTTTTTTAAATGTTTATTTGTTAATAGTGATCTTGGAATTTGAAAAAAAAAATCGACTCGATTTACTGCCGAGGTAAGTACCTACTAGAATGTTGTAATTATTTTAAGATTAAATTATAAAAAAATATATTTATTAATATTCCTAATTATATTGTATAAAAATGAAAAAATAATTCTTTAGTTTGGGAATCAGTTTAATTTAATGTTCAAGTAATATCATATTATTTGAAACCATCCCATTAATTTTGCTTTGTTTAATCTAATAAACACAATTCATTTTCCTTCGTGATCGAAACTTGATCAATGTCAAAAATGTTTAATCTGATGATCGATTTACAAAATGTGTTTTATTTAGTATTGTAGATAACGTAATTTCGTAATCGTCAGCGTTAAGGTATAATATATTAAGTGTTCGTCTTTACAATTGCGTTGTTGCATGCAAAATTGTTCAAACTAAAAATATGTAAAAAAAAAATACTTTTGTTTGTTATTATTACTATCACGCATATTAAATTCAAGTCATTTAAATGTTAATATTTTATTTCTGTAATCAAACACTTGAAATTGTTTGTATCCATTATGGATCACACATTCTAGAGTATTGTATTATAAATCTTATTTAATTTAAAAGTTTGCAGATAATATATGGATACTGGTATATAGAAAACAAAGGTTAAAATGCATACCTATTATAAAATGTAGTTTTTTTTTATTATTGATGTATTATTCGGTAAATAAAAAAAAACAGTGTTATATAATACGCACTATAATCCTATATAGGTATACACTAGATACGTACAGGGAGTATCACGATTATCTGCAGTGGCGTGCCCAGGAAGGGGAGGTTAGGGGACCATTGTTCCATAAATCCCTTTATTTGTGTCCTTGGTACTACCGCCACAATTAATTTAATATATTATAACTTTACCCTCCCTCCCTCACAAATTGAAAATTAAAGGGCACGCCCCTTATTATCTGCAATACAATTTCATATTTTCCTGGTACGTTTTTCATATCAGTAAAAGCCGAATTTCCAATACAATTTTACAAAGTCCATAATAATATGACGATGGTACAAAAAAAAAAAAAATGATTTAAACATAAAGTTGCTTACCGTTAAGTATATGGATGGTGACGGCCGCTGACGCTGACGGCGATCCAACCAAGCACGTGTAGTTTCCCGAATGTGTTTTCTGTACATGTTTGATTTTCAGAGTGGACACGATTGTCGTAGAACTAGAATCATTGCTGGTCCTGTGAGGGATATGAAACAAACTCAACATTATACACGTGTATAGTGAAATGGTAATTACAGAAAAAAAGATACGCACAACGTGTCTGTGGGTAAGAAAATAGGGTAGAATACGATTGCGCGCATTACTATTGCGCTCATACCCTTTTGGCTTACGATTGCGCGTGTTAAATACGATTACACGATTGTGCAATGTTGCCAAATTTAATAACACGATGATACAAATTCTAAGATAACTAATGTCGTATTTATCTGCAGATTATCTCATATTTTTAAGAACATCGTACAGTGATGCGGTGCTAGCGGCACTCGTCGCTACGCTCCTCGGCGCCGTCGCTCCGCTCCGCAAATCGAAAATATCCCCCGACTTGCTGTGCAACACCTCCCCAAGTGGGTCACAGGGTTAAGAAATTCAGATCGTGAATAATCGTTTTAAATATACCGACTCAGACACTTTTCAGTAGAGCGCATACCGAATCAGCACTTGTTGGTAGAGCGCATACCGAAACAGAAACTTGTTGGTAGAGCGCATACCGAATTAGCACCAGAAATTGTAAAAATAATATAATCCTGTTTTATTTTTTGACTGTTGATGGTATACATAATTTATTATTATATTTATTAAATTATTATTAAAAACTCTTAGCTCAAGCAAAATTAAATTACTTTTAATTTGGCAACGTCGCATGAAGTTTTACGAGCAATCGTACATATATCTTACCCAAAATGTATGTTCTATTGTCCCATTAAAACATGCGCAATCGTATTATGAAAAAGGTAAAATGCGCGCAATCGTATTTTACCGAGAAAATATTTCAAACTCTAGGTACCTAGGTATACAATACGTGAGCATTATATAACTATCGTGGCCCGATGACTTCATTGATAACATATTATAATATAATATGTGTGTGGTAGCATTATAGCTTTAAAAGGCGTTCGTAATATGAGTTTGAGATTTTTTTATAATATATTTTATTCTAAATATAGTGGTTATATTGTATAGAATGTAAATCAAAAAAGGTGCTCTGCTGTACAGTAGGTTACAAGTGGGTCACTGTATAATGGATGGTATTAAATTTGAATTCAATGATATAATATCATTGTATAAGGAAAACGATTCTGAGCGGAGACGTTATGTCAGTCTAGGTATAAGACATATTATATACATATCTATGGGATTAAAAAAAAAATTGACCAATAATAGGTACCTATAATACATTCCAAATTAATCGTATATCACAATATCCATTAGGTACTTATACGCGTTATACATCAATAACGAACCATGATACTAACATAGATATATTATAGTATACTTTAGAAGTTCCAAGTACCCACGAATAATATTATACAATCACAACAAAATAACTAAAATAGTTATTCTAGGTTTTTAATATGTAATTTCGTCCAAATTTGAATTTAAAATGTCTGTAAAAAATAACTGTGTTAATATATTTTTTGGATTTTTTGGTTACAGTATGAACTATTTATGAGAACCTTTGTTTTAAATTTTCAATCCTTAGCTATAAAAACTGAACATTTTATAATTTATTAATTACAATGATTGATAATTTTCGAGATTTTGATCAATTTTGTCAAAATTCGATCTTTAAATGCTTATAAAAAAAATTGTGACTATGTATTTTTAATATTTTCAACTTCTATTGTAACAATATACCTATCAGGAACCTTGTATTAAATTTTTACACTTTTTGACCCAACAGATAAAACTTAATTGATATTCATAGAAAAAAAAAAATAAAAAAAATTGAAAACTGACAATGCTCCGTAAACAGCTCAAAAAAAGTCAAAATATATTCAAATAATTGTATGGTGTATAGGAAATGCTAATATAAACATTCAGTGAAATTTTCATGTATCTACAGTTATTCGTTTTTGAATTACAACAAAATAAGGAAATCGCTACATGAGTGATAATCCAATGTTGTAAAAATTTGAATTTCAAACGCTCATTAAAATTTAATTTGACTTTCTCATAGAAATTTTTTTTTGATAAAGGTAGATAATTTCATAAGGAATCTTGTATTACATTTTAAAATCTTGGATTTAAAAAGAAAAATTTTTACGAATTCTTAACTCAAAATAATTTGCTAATTTTCGTTATTTTTACGTATTTTGTCAATGTTTGATCTTTTAAATGCTTATAAAAAAAAAATTGTGACTATAGATTTTTAATTTTATTCATCTGCCTTTGAAACAATAAACTAGGAGCCTTCTATTTTTTCAAGCTTTTTTAACCAACAAATAAAATGTTATTGATATTTATAGAAAAAAAAACTAAAAAAAATGGAAACTAAAAATGTCCGTAAACATCTCAAAATGAGTCAAAATATTTTGTAAATGTTATGGTGTATAGAACATGCTATAATATAAACATCCAGTCAAAATTTCATATTTTCATGTACCTTAGGTGATTAGTTTAAGAGTTGCACCAAAAACCAAAATCAATTTTTTCGAAAACAGATTTTGAGTAAAATTCGCGTTTTCCTTAATTTTTCAGATCACGTTTGAAAACTACTGGAACAATTTTACTTTTGACCCCCCCCCCCCCCCCAAAAAGTACCAACTAGATTCACTTTCCTATCAATAAAGATACTGTTGAAGAAAATCCAAGCACTTTTGCTGTCCTAAAAGGTGATGACTGACACAAAAAAAAATAAAACACACATCATTGTAAAATCAATACATTCATCATTCCACCCAGAATCTAAAAAACAAACACACATAATTGTAAAATCAATACATTCATCGTTCCACTAAGAATCTAAAAAAAAAAAAAATTTGTATTTGTAAATTGTAAATTGTATTCGAGTAATTCTATTTATTTATTAGAACTGTATGTTTTACTTTTTAAGCTATCGGCATGGTTTTTATAATTTTAATTTATCATGAAATAATGAAATATTCATAAACAGGCCATACAAGGACATTTCCGAGCATTATGCCCAAAAATTAAAATATTTGTAGTTAATATGTTTATTCTTTAAGGTGTATTTTATGTAATTATAATACAATTTTAAGTTTTTATTGTAGTGTTAATTTATTACCTATGTATATAACTGTAAATACCATATGAACTGCAGTTCGCCTACGATACATGCATTACATATATACACATTTTAGTAAACACATCCAAGGTATATTATGTATTCAGATATATTAAAGGGTAAAACAAAAACAAACAAAAGTCAACAGCTTCTTAGTATTCGATATAGAACATAAGAATATAAAGAGGTGGTACCAAGAGGAAGAAATAGTCCATTTAGAAAATTGGATTTGCCGGAAGTGGATGGTTTTCTTGTATTATCTTAGTCGTATAATTTTTTTTCATTCACATTACAGAGAGAGAGAGAGAGAGAGAGAAAAAGCGTATGTGTGTATTAAAGAAAAACCGGAAATAACCGTGAGATCTCACACGGGCCTTTTTACCGGAAGTCAGCCGTTTGCAGCACAGACTCGCTTGTCGTCAGTATAGTAGCCGTTCAAATAGTATTTGATTAACACCGTTCTGGCAGTCAACGAGTTTGAGCTTTTTTTTAAATTCAATAATTTAGACTTACCACTTAATCAAAAGTTCCTACTTCTTTAGAAATACATAAATTCTTAAAAGTAATTTTAAAGGAATTGTATAAAATAATTTTTAAGGTTTTTATTTTATACACTAAATTGTAAGTGCTGACCAAACCTCTTACAAATAATAAACATAATATGTTGAACAACATTCCCAACGTCTGATTTGTATTATTATCTATACTTTCGTTTGTAAACCGTTTATATATATTTACAACATAATAATTATTTGTTCTTACTAAACGATTGTTTTCTTTTGAAGTAATATTTATTTTGCACTTGTTTCACTTAAACAAACAATTTAAACTCTATACAATAGTTTATTGATTTCATGGCATTATAATTGTTACCTAAATTATTAATATTTATAGAAAGTGTGCTTAAGATTGTATAATGTATTAAGTGTTTGTTAAAGTTTCATAATATGCGTTTAACCTTATATAATATAAGCTTGATCACAATTTGAGTGCACCGTTAAAAGTGTTATTTATCATGTAAAAAGTCGTAGCCACTTGTATTGAGTCTATTGATTATTGACTACTTTTATTCTGATAAAATATATTTTATGTCACAATAATTGAAAAAACACAAGAAACAAAGTCAAATACAATTTTATAAAGATTAATGTATTTATTTATAATGCTGACTGCTTTCTAATGTTCCGAATTTTTCTTATACTAGGGTGTACAGTAATTTAAATATTAAAAGTAATATTTTGTAAATATACAATATTTTTAACTTTAAAAATGATGAATATTTTATGTAAATAACAAAAAGATTAATTTGAAAAATAAAATAAATATATTTATATAAGCTTTATAAAGTGGTTGTATTTTAAATGCAACTAAAGCAAAAAAGTATGACAAATATAAATTATTAGTAAATTACTAAAATCTATTCTGTTGGTTGTATCGAAAAGTATTTCCAAGAACGTATTTTTTATCTAGAAATAATTTATAGTTCTAAAGAAAATCAGGAATATTTAATTTTAAATAATTTTCAATTATAACATGTACCTATAGGTACACATGGCAATGAAAATGTCTTAATTATATTATTGTGTATCAATGTAATCTAAAATAAAAAAGTTCAATATAGTGCAGGGGTCGGAACCATTTTTGGTGTCAAGGGCCACAACTCACAAGATTAAAAAAAACGTTCACGGGCCATACACCTTATTTTATTTACATTCTACAGTTTAAATTTTAAACAAATCATTTAATTAAAAATGTATTTAAGTTTCATCGCTGTTTGGTATATTAATTTATTATTAACATTATCAACTAACATAATGTGATATTCCATATTTTTATACCAATTATAAATTGTATCGCGAGCCTCATAAAATTGTTACACTGGCCGCGGGTTACCGTCCCCTGATATAGTGTTTAAGATAGGTATAAAACATTTATAATTAATATTTAATATTTTATTTTTATTTAGGTAAACATAATACCATATTTACTTCTGATTCGACAGGTTGAATTAACTTTATAGACCTTTCTTTTATGTTTCTTTTAATTTGAGAAACGATAAAGTTTTTTTATTAAATACGCGGCTTAGGTAATTTAACGAATTGGATTTTTTTCCCAAATTAAAAAAAAACCCAATACCAAAAACTACCCCGAACAGATTGGAAATAGTGAATAACGAAACGGGTTTACCTCTCAGTGATCCCGGTTGAAATCGTTTGACGTCCTCTGAACCACGAAACTTTGGATCCGTTGTTGCTACCGGCGTGCACAACTTTGCACACGATCTCCAGAGTGCTACCAGTCTTGTAGAAGACGTCATTACTGCCTCTGGTCACATCACCGGTACCGGTTACAGACATGCGTACAGTGGGCACTGTGGACAGACATAAAAAATATACAAATGCTGATAAAGCCAATTGAGAGATGTAACACAATAAGTTGCGTGCTCAGTGCGGGGAGGTTAGGGGGGTTTTACCTCCCCATCCGTCGACCGATCAATCCCCCCATATTTTCCTTTGGTAATACCGCCACGATTAATTTAAATTTATTATTATTTATAACGTCTCCTCTCCGTTTAAAATTCTTGTGCACGCAACTGGTAATATATCGCTCTAGGTTGTGCGAGGGACGCGGAATTTATAGTTGCGAAGACGACAGATGCGATTCGTCGCAGGGTTATCGTATATATTATACAATATGGTCGATATCAGTGGTTTTTTGTTTATAATTACGTAGTAACCTTTGCATGGACTTCACCGGGGCGTCAAGCCGCTGTAAGTAACCGGAGTAAACTCTACAGTGGTACTCTGGTTAAACTTGAAAACCGTGTTTGCCGGAACGGTGTAAGCGCGTACAGCATATGTTAACGGGAAAGGGTACATACCGGGTGGACGGTATGCATATGTATATGTACGTATGTGTATGTAGAGAATAAGCCTTTATTGGATCTCGACGGAGGCGGCGGCCGTTTCCAAACGACTGGTTTGGGAATATCCTAGGAGGTCACTCGTTTCCCGCACAAACGAGACCCTGGGGGAAACGAAAGGACCGAATTTAATACGCGCCTCTGGAATTATGTGTATATATAATATATACATATATATATTCTGTTTCAATTGGCGGCACCATAACCTTTTGTCATAACCTTGATACATGCAACTATTGTTGTAACCATACCAAACATATAAGGAAATACGTTTTAATTAAAAAAAAAGACAAAACTAATCGCACGTCTCTATGAGGGCATGCGTTTGGTAAACAAAGTACTGTACAGCTATATAGGTATATTATAATATTTCATGGAATATAACACTATCGTGTTGTTGTTTGTTTTTTAATTCTCAATTTTTTTTACGAACGGATTAAATATTTATAACCCAAACGTAATATTATCATGTTCAAACAAAAAATATTTCTGGTTTTAGAAACTTTTTTTTCCTAAACTCGAATTACGAAAGGATGGGTATATTATTTTAAAATGTATAATCATGTACTCTTTCACAATCGTTTTACGCATTCGAGTAAATATATGAATAGTAAAATAAATGTAGATCGATAATTTAATGATTATTACTTAGATATTTTATATTAACGAGTCAATAGGTATTTTTAGATTGTATGTACTCGACATTTTGTTATTTCATTGGAATGATTGTTAAGTGAGTTACTTATACAATGGTCCTTACACTCAACTGCGGAAACGCTCTGAGTGTATGGATCGGCCGGTGTTGCTAGCTCCTGGATGGGTGACCATCCGCGATTTTTAGCAATAAATCCTTGCCACACAATACGTAGTATCCCAACCACAACCGTTCCTCCCACCTAAAAACGAAAACAGCTAATGGCCATAGTTGCCGGGCTCAAATCAATAAAAAAAAAAGTTACTTATACTATGGCTAGAAAGAATATTATGTTTAAATAAAAAAAAATCCTATTTACAAGGCATGAGGTTAGAAAATAAATCTATTGAAGAAAGTTAAAATATTTTATTGGCATATGAGGTTTTAAAAAAGTTTAATCCATTGCCCATTCCTTATTTAAAGGAAAAAAAATGAAATATACATTTTAGGATACACGTGAGTCGAGAGCATTAAAGGATAAAATATTATCACGTTGAAATATTTTCTCTGACCTATTTGACTTACCTACAAGATTTTAATTTTTAAAAAGACAATTTAATTTTTCATAGTTTATACCGAGTTTATGAATAATTCGTATTATGTTAAGTAACCAACAGTATATTATAAATATATCTGAAGTTTCAAGATTTAACGAAAGGTAAAAATAATAATAATTCTTTTCATCAGTTAAATTCAGCATCCACACCTCTTACATTAAAATTTAAACGGTAGCAGCTCGTGAACCACTCGTTTAATAATACAATTTGATATTCAAAAAGTTTTATATAAAAATATATAATGGTAATTTCTTACCAATAAATAAAATAATTAATTTCTAACAAAACAGATATTTTTTATGACAATATTTTCTTCTTTTTTTTGTTATTGTAATTTTAAAGGAAAATCAAATATCATAATAAAATTTATAAATAATTTCATGTTGGACATAATATAATCATATTCTGCATTTAATATACAAAGCTTTTAACGTTTTTTTGTGCATCACTTTACTATAATTATGAATGTAAACAGGAAATTAAAGATTGTTAAAGTATTAACCATACATTGTTGTTTTTAATAATGAAAACTTTATAGGAATATTATATTATCATATAATATTATGCGTTTTTAATTGGTTTTACTTTTATGTGTGAAAAGTGGTTTTAATTTGATTTTTTTTTAATAGTGTTTATTATTAAGTTTATAAAGTTTATATTATTCGTTAAATAAACGACACTAAAACATAGTACCATATTTGATAGACTTAAATGAGAATGAAATCATGAAGTTTGGTATAATAATGCAATTTAGTCAATCAGAGAGTAAAGGCTAAAGTATATATAAGGAGCGGTGCAATATGAATAATTCATCATTGAACATTTCGAACAAAATTATATAAGTTAAATAATACTTGATAAGAAACATTTCGTGCAATTTATTTACAGTAAGTTGATTTCTTTCTTTTATCAAAAAATATATTATTACAGAAGAATTTATTTATTTATAAGCGTAAAGAGACCTATCTACATTTTTGATTTTATTGTGTGTAGAGATTATTAAATCCATATTTTTTTAATTACTTGCTACATAGTATTAAACTTTGACGAAACAAACAGAAACACTAAACTGTTACAATCATCAATACATTTACATGAAATTATTTGTTACTTAAACATCATAAAAATATGTGAAGCGAGATTCAATAAACTTTACTAAAGTGCAAATGACGATATTATATAATACAAGTATGTGAATATTACTCATTACAATTTTTGTGTTCAGAACAGGATAAACATTTATTGTGTGACAATTAATGACAGTTAAAATTAAATTGAATTAAATTTAGTTTTAAAATTATGTGTAAAGATACTATCAGAAATGTATTGCATATAATACATTATATTGTTGAAATACTTGAAACACTTACAAGAACCTAACACAAATTGTACGAATACGGACGGATCACTCAGGATGTAAATAAACAATTTTACGAGCATAAATTAACTCTTAACACAAATTATACAATTGCGATAGTATATTAAAATATTATATTAAATATTTAAGTTTGGCTTGGCACATACGTATCCAGTCCATGGACAGAATCTGTGTGTATGCACCAGTGATTCTCAATTTTTTTTTAAGTGAAGTCCTTCCAAATTAAATATCCAATTTTCTTACAACAATTAAAAATAGTTTTCTTGTTTATACTCTAAGATTATAATATAACCATTAACCAATAGTAAATAATATTATTATGTATTGGCGAATGGGGACCTCAAATAATTAGTTGATGACCTCTAAGGGAAATCGCGACTCCCCAGGTTGAGAATCGCTAATATCAGTGGAAAAGGTTGGATTAATATTAAACGGTTATACATGTCCGCACCTACAAGTCACAACAATACCATTGTCCATAGATCATATAAAACAAAAAATCTAATGTAGAATATAATTGGCAAGTATTAGTATTAAGTACCAATTTGTACAGTTGCAGATACAACACGATAATAAAAACTGTTTAAAATGCTTGCATATGGTTTTCATATACAATATATATATATATACTATAAACTATTGTGTGCCTAGTAAAACAGAGTACCTAAACACAATGAGATAAACTAAAACGTCGGCATGACAATAGTAGGCAATACTGCTATTAATAATAACAATAATAAATGTTCAATTGTGAACGTCAAAGAAACAATGGTTATAATATTATGAGGGGGATCGGGTTCCCCTTCACGCTGCCCCAGCCTATTGCTTTTACGTTCATCGTTCATTAGCTTCGTAAATAAACGCCCTGAGAAGAATATAGTGCTCACGGTGGCACGATCGGTATATAGTTGGGCACTGGACACTGCATACAATGTTGTCTAGACACTCCATCAAACCGGAACAGTTACAATACGACCAGATTATTGATTTAGCTAATTTTTTACAATCCATAAAAATATATTTATTACAATATGTACTGGAATTGTCCAGTAGGTAGATTAAATAGAGACACCAATAGGTAATGCCACCTATACGGTAAACCACTCAGCGGTGGCGAAGCGTTTTTACTTTTTAGTTCGCCAATTATTTTTGTTTATTACTATATTTAAGATTTCGTGCACAGATCATTCTGAGAAAACAATTGGGAAACTCCATGTGCGGAGTTTCAAAAATCAAAGCACCTTAAACAATTCGGTTTAGGTAATTAGGTATTATTTTCCATCACCGTTATTTGTGTGGTCTTGATGTATATTATGTATGTAAATAATAATGATATTGTGGAGTGTTGGTTGCCCTCAGTCACTAACGGGTTCTAAGGTCAAGTAATAACCGGTTTCGCTAGTTCCCGGATGGGTGACCACTCGGGTTTTTAGTGATAAATCTTCACCACATATACACGTGTTCATCCCCCACAGTAAAAAACTGACTAAAAATAACCTTCAGGCTAATGACTTCGAATTTAAAAGCATTAACTCAATAAAAAAAAAATAATGATTTAAGAGCCGGAGAGCTTAAATGCATACTGTGTGCGATTAAAATATAATAAAATAATAACAATTATTAATGGGGTTCTTTTGTACAAAACAATTTTTGGAGGAGGAAGGGAGTTCATTTAGGGGTCGTGCACCAGTTCAAATATATATATAGAGAAAGAGAGAGAGAGAGAGTGAGAGAGATAGAGAGTGATGGAGAAATAAAATGGTTAACTCACCATGGCTTGTACGAGATTTCATATGCGTAAAAATCATCAACATTTATA